TAACAAGAGGCTTCACTTGAGTAAGGATTTTGAGCTGTTGACTCAGGGGACTGGCTACAATGATGCTTCGGGGATATTGAAGGATGGTTTCTACAGGATGCTTGCTGTGGTCAATAATGGCCATGTCGTCGACGGTAATTTCTCTGATAAGTCATCTCTGCTCAACGGATTGCACGTTGTGATTTCATCGCCAAACGATCAGGTAATTGCATTTCTTTTTTTGAAATTTTAATTTTGTGTTTTGGATATTTCGGGCTTACTTGGGGATTTGCTTTGCAGTTACAATATGGCATTGATGAATCCTACAAATTAAGGGTCCCTTCGCCAGAAAATCCAGCTTATGCCCACCTTCAGGTATTTCCGATTGACCCCTTTTTCTTCTTTGGTCAATGCTTCTTTTAGAAACACTCAATTTCAGTTATTGGCAACATACTGGCATTTTTCCTAATTATCATGTAGTTTGGGTTTTTGTTGAACTTTTAAATTATTCTAGTTTAGCTTTGATATTTTCAAAGATTTCGTTAATCTATTCTAAACTACTCTGGGATTTGTCTGACCGTGCTCCGTATAATTTACTTTGTTTGATGCTTTGGGGAAAAGGAAAGTGCGTTTTTGGGATTAGTTGGGTCACATACACATATTTTACAAAAAAGTTTAATTTTCCTTTCCTTTCCTTTCCACTTCCTTTTCCTTTTCTGATATTGGGAGAGGAGGAATTTAAACCCCATCTAAGGATGGGGGGCATGCAGCTTTAGTGTTAGGCTACAAATCCTTTTACAAGAGTGTTTCTATGGTCTATTTCATTGAAAAGCATGAAATCAAATTAAGTTCGATCATCTATTTGGTATTTTACATGATATAAAGTACATTGTGCAACATACTTGATATTGTAGTGAATTGGTACAAGGATATTGTCCTCACACAGGTAAGTTTGCTACCAATGTTGGATCTTCTTTGGGAAATTTACTTTGGAAATTTTAACATGTTTCATGTATGGACATTAGTTCTCTGTTACCTGACCTCAAAGCAAAATGCATGATTTCAACGTTTGTGTTGTGCTTGATGGGTGTATTCACATGCATTGTGGGTCAATGGGCTGGATACTATCTATGTTTCATTAATTTATAAACTGAGTCAACTCAAATTTATTGTGAAACAATGCAGGCAAACACAGTTTATGGAGCTTTACATGGGCTTCAGGTTAATGCATTAAGTTTATAAAGCTTTCCTGTATTTTGTTATTATTAAAATTTTCAAAATTCCTAACATATTTTTGTTATAGATTATTGCAGACACTCAGCCAGTTATGCCATTTTAACTATAAAAGCAGAGTGATTGAAGTTCATATGTCACCTTGGACAATTACTGATCAGCCAAGATTTTCTTATCGAGGCCTCTTAATTGGTGAGCTGCTGTTTATGCTCCCCTTCTATCATTCTATGACATCTTTAAGTGATTGGTCACATGGATTTCCTTGGAAAATATGATGATTATTGCACAATCGGTGAGTGGTTGTTCTCTGGTAACTATTATAATTGTACTTCTACTTGAGTCACAAGGAAGCAATCAAGGAGTTAAGTGGGTGCATTGGTTTTAGCAGTTAGCCCTTAAAACTTAAATTGCATGTTATTTTGGTACCAATTTTGAACATTTTACATCTTCAGCAGCCAGAATGGTGAAGGGTTTTGTTGATAGTAATTAAACTGTTGATCTGCATAAAGTTGATTAAAGGATAAATTTTCTAATGATATTGGTTTTTGGAATTGACTGCACACTGGGCTCGTAATCTGATTGTTTGACTTAATTAAGGTCCTTTTCCTTTATGTGTTCTTTACTGAAATTAATATCTTGCAGATACATCCCGTCACTATCTTCCTTTGCCCGTCATTAAGAATGTTATTGATTCCATGACCTATGCAAAGCTGGTATGTAATACAATCCCAACAATTATGTACTTCTATTTTCTCTATCATAGTCAGCATCCCTTTGCACTCTGTATAATGAGTACATATGGCATTGCTTTTAAATTCCTTTATTTTGAAGTATGATTCATTGTTCATTTTATGATTATGACTTTATTTTCAACAAAGGCCATAATCCTTTGTATATATGACTAAGTATAATCTGCCCACCTTCCAATGATTTCTCTCTCAAGAAAGCATCAAAATGGAGTTGTAAGCATGAGCATGAGCCATCTACTGTACAACTTTGTTTAACTAGGATAACACTCCAACTCAGTGAAGGAGCTCAAATGTAGCCCAAATAACCTTTTTTTTCTTTTTCATATAGATAGAAAAGGTTCAAATATATGGACTTATCTTAAACACTAACTGGAATGATATTGTTCATATGCATAAAGTAGCCCCAGGGGCATCATGTCGTTGGTAATTATTTACTGGAATCAGCTGCCTTTCTAGAGGTGAGGTAAAAATGGAAGTTTTTAGGGTACATTCCTAAGGCACATTGGGAGGTGAGGGAAAATTTTCTTTCCTAGAGATTTTTGTGTTTTGGAGCATAGATTCTTAATCATGTGGATACCATCGTGATTTTGTATCTTCATTGCATCCCAGCAAGCTTTTGCATTCATAATTGACTACTGAAGATGTTATTTCAGGTTAACTAGATTCCGTATTTATTAGTGCCATATTTTGTTTGATGAAAATATGAAATTGAATCCTCATATTCTGAGACAATGATGCCTTTAACTTAACATTTATCTTGCTGCTTGCCTTCTTACCTGCTGTTGATATTATCCAACCAGTCATTTGTTTCTAATCCAAGTATCGTTAAAATTCCTCATATTTTACTTGCAGTTGCAGACATTTTCTAACATCATTGTACAACTGTATGCAATAATATTTTCTGCTTGCCTTCACACAGAATGTATTGCACTGGCACATTGTAGATACCCAATCTTTCCCGTTGGAGATACCTTCGTATCCAAAGCTGTGGAATGGTGCTTATTCGGCCTCAGAACGATATACAATAGCTGATGCTGCTGAAATTGTGAGGCAAGTGCTTTTGCTACTTGGTTGCATTGAAAGAATACTTATTTTCCTCATACTTCTTTTGTTCCTGATATGGTTGTTATCAACTGTTGCAGTTATGCCCAAGAACGAGGGATTAATGTAATGGCTGAATTGGATGTCCCTGGGCATGCACTCTCCTGGTAGTGCTAATTTTTCTAGTCATAAAGCAGTGTTAAATTTTGTTGTTGGTGCATAGACTTCCTATATAGTAGATGGAAATGTTCAATTCTAGAGGAAATGTTATTTTACTTTTGTTCATGGTTGTTGTTCCTTGGTATTTTTCACTCGCACTCCTCAAGATGATCTGTCCATCAGTGGTGATAGTAACTAAAATTAGAGATTTTTGCCATCATTCAATAGATTGTGAACTTGTGTTTTTCATTCTTTAGGGGAGTCGGCTATCCTGCTTTATGGCCATCAAGTAACTGTCAGCAGCCACTTGATGTCAGTAATGAATTCACTTTTCAAGTGATAGATGGAATTCTTTCAGGTGATCTCATTGGCATAAAAACATAAATGACTGACTCTGCATTGGGTTATATTTCTTCCTTCCAATAAGTATATTTTCTCAATCTACAAAAGTGAAATTAAATTAATGTTATTGATATTTATTTTTACAGATTTCAGTAAGATCTTTAAATTTAAGTTTGTTCATTTGGGAGGTGACGAAGTTAATACAAGTAAGTTCAATGTGCCTTGTAATACCCTTACAATAAGTTCAATATACTTTCTAATGCTCTTACAGTCTCACTGATGTAATGATACTTTGTCATGATTATGGTTTATGGTGCTACAATTGACATTTGATGCTAGAGATTGGTTGATTTTTTTGGTATATTTGATGAGTGGACTATACAACAAGGAATAGAATAGTTATAGTCCTCTCCTTTCACAAATCCCTCCCAATTTACCTCAAGTTTCAAATTCGAGATCTTCAACTTGAAGTCTAACCTTCTATCAGTTGAGATGCCCTTTGGGGACTAAAGAATAGTTTATTGAAGTATATGTATATTCTCTACGAATGTTCATTAAAATCTGACATTCTACTGAAGAAAAACAAACCCTAGATATTCTTTTTATTCCCCTTTTTTGTTTCAACTAAAGTTTATTTGATATTTTCATCTTATAGAAATGAAAGTGTCTTTGAGGGTTTTCCTAAACTTATATAGAATGTCAATACAATTTAATATTTTAAACCAATAATTTATTAACATTTGAATTCACTATTAATTTCAGGTTGCTGGACTGATACTTCACACATCAGCAAATGGTAAGACTATTAGGATCTTTACAAAAGTCCTACACTATCTGAGTTAAACGTAAAGGGCTCATTTGGTTAGAGGGTGTTCATATTCCTTGGTTAAACAATAAAAATAAAACATAGTTAATAAACTACATTAAGCCTAAATATTTATAATTTTTATTTAGATTAGGTGAGAAATAAGGAATACATAATATATAGGGGACATTTTAATTCATATTCCTTACTCATGCCTTAATTTAGTAGTAAATTATCGATATTAAGGGGTAATGAATCCCATATTCTTAAGGATATTTCTCAATTTTGCCTTATTTTTACAGTTTGACCAATGAATAACCACTCCTTCCAACCAGAATGTAAATTACAAGATTCTCCCCAAAATGGTCTATGATTATAGTTTCCCTAAAATTTTGAAAAAATGCCAACTTCCCTAAAAACCTGCATTTCTCCCTCTTAAAATGCCTAAAGAGTAAAAACTTACTCATACATTTATTCACCAAGATGGTAATTAATGATCTCAACAAGGCTTAGAGAAAGTGTAATAACAAGGTTCCTTTAAAGTGATTTTGTATTTGTTCTGTGAGAAATTTTTTCTTTTTTTTGGGTTACATGGGTATCTGGGCCTTTGGCATGGGTACTTGCGAACCACCCCATCCAAAGCAAAGCTCCATCTAACGTGGCAAGTGTAGTCTTGTGGAATTGTTTGCACCCAAATGGCAATAAATACTATGAGAAATATTAATTCTACTTTCATTAGTCATTCCCTTTTCTAAATCATTTGCTTGTATGTGCCTTAAGTTTAGAAATGCTACTATATTTTTTTGAAGTTAAATCACTATTGCACAATTATATACACCTTTTCTTTCTTTTCAAAAATTTTTTGGTCTTGGGAGAGGAACCATTAGAAAGTCTAACTAGCTACTTTTATAATCTGACTTGCTGTTGTAAGAAACAAGCTTCTCTGTCTGATGTATTGCTATTTTTATAGCATTTTCATAGTCTCATAGGTGTGGCCACCAATATATAAAGCATCATATTATGTTATCACTTCTTTCTGAAATGTTTACTATTTGGTGTCACATGACTAAATGTCTGTCCTGTTTCTTTTCAGCTGCTTTGTTTTGGTCTACCCCCTCTCTAGTCTTGATTTGCTGCTGTCTTGGCTTTCTCATTTGGGGCTTTTTAATTTTTAATTTTTAATTTTTTTGTTTTTGCTATCTGTTGTAATTGCAATATGATTTTGTTTGAATACCTCTGATAGTTGCTTTCAATAATAATGCATTTTATTCAGCATATAATCAGCTTTCATGCCTGCTATAGTAAGTCTATCAGCTCAGATACCAAAGAGATAGCATTTCACTTTTTGTCCATCAAGAGAGCTTCTTACTTGATTACTCTGATTTCCAGGTTAAAGAAGCATCACATGAATGAATCCCAAGCTTATCAGTATTTTGTCTTGAGAGCTCAGAATATAGCTCTGTCCCATGGATATGAAATTGTTAACTGGTATGCATCTTGTACTATTTAGTCAATTACATTGTTTTCTAAATAAAACCTTTTTATGTCCACAAATAAATTACTTTTTCAATTTGTAATTCTATCAATCACTTATAAAATATAACAGGGAGGAGACATTCAACAACTTTGGCAATAAATTAAGCCGGAAAACTGTGGTGCACAACTGGTATGTTATACTCCTCTTGACTGCCATCTAGACTGTGTATCACATGATTCTATCTGCACGTCTTATTTCTTGTCATGATGCATCTTAAATTTAATACTCTCTTCTCCATGCATAAAAGTCAGTAAATTAAGAAACATAATTTTGACTTCAATTTGACTATCTTCCTTGTTTATTGCCTTGGCGATTTTAACTTTTTCTCATAAATTAAGAAAAATAATGACTACTTCAATTTGAAGCTATACTTTTCTACAGTTCTTCCAATTTTCCCCATTTCCCAGTTTATAAGGGCATAAAATTGTGGCTTAAGGATGAAGAGTTTTAAACACTCCATATCTAATTGATTTTGGTGGTGGTAGAAATGGAATTCAACTTTATGATAGATTTCTATAAGCATCTTGTTTTATGGGCTATTGTACTCTTTTCTTCTGATGAGATAGTACAAGGGAAACGGTTCTTAATTGACCACTCCCCACACTGCCCACAAGGTAAATTCTAGTAACTATCATTTGAAACCTTCATAGTTATGTTGTTTTTGGTCTTGCATAGTTAGGAAATTTTCACTGCTAAATATTTCCAAAGCAAGTACAACTTATAATTTCCTACTCAATATCCAAACTTTGCTTTGGATTCAATTGTTGGATGGTGTAGAAACGTAGTGCCCATTCATTGCTCAGATAATGCCTCTCCTGAGATTTCTAGTTGTGCTTTGATTTTAATCAGGCTCGGTGGTGGAGTTGCTGAGCAAGTGGTGGCATCTGGATTAAGGTGCATTGTGAGCAACCAGGATAAGTGGTACTTGGACCACTTGGACACCACCTGGCAGGAATTCTATATGAATGAACCACTCACAAATATTAAAAACTCCAAGCAACAGAAGTTAGTTATTGGTGGTGAGGTATGCATGTGGGGTGAACACATTGATGGGTCAGATATAGAACAAACCATATGGCCACGTGCTGCAGCAGCTGCAGGTACTTATTATCTACTAAGTTAACATTCCATTACCCCAATGCTTTATTGCTAGCACCATGTTGTTAACGAATCAATGGTTTTGATTTTTTATGCTTTAACTCTTGGCTTCATGTCTTAGGAGTTAAGCCTTGTAGCCAATAAAGTAGAGCTTGTTCTGGCATCTGTAGTTCTATACTAATAAAAAAACCAAACATAGGATATACTAACTGGAGAATAAAGACTAGTTTATTAAGGCTTGTAGAGGTAAAAGAAGATATCTTAACTAGACCACAATTGAGGATACAGACATCTAACCAAGCAACTTGTTGCATTGCTAGCAAAATTTGCTTAAAAAAGTGGTCTGATCACTGCTTCTGGAATAGAAGTGTGTTTCTCTCTGTGTGTGTGTGTTGGGCTTATTGGAATCATTTTGTTGTATGTGAATTTTTCCCCGGCTAACTATTTTAATTCCTTTTCCCGTCCTTTTATATAAAGAGCGGCTATGGACACCATATGACAAGCTTGCCAAGGATGCAAGTGAAGTTACTGGAAGGTTGGCTTATTTCAGATGTTTACTGAATCAAAGAGGAGTTGCTGCTGCTCCATTATCTGGACCAGGCCGAGTTGCCCCTTTTGAACCAGGTTCCTGCTACATGCAATAAGGAGCAGAAGCACTGGAACGACTCCTAGTTGTAAAAAGGCAATTTGGCTGTAAATTGAAAAAAGGCCCCATTTTAATGTACCTCATACTGGTGATGCATCTCACCTGTTAAAGATCAGGTAGTTTCCACCAGTTGCTTTCTTCAATTTCTTCAAGAAAAAGTTATTATGTCTTTCTACAATTGAAGCACAGCTTGAAAATTCAACTAAATGAAAAGATCTTTTCATCTAGGTTAAAATCCCATTTTGGTTTCTGAGCTACCCTTGATTTGGCCCTTAAACTTTAACAAATCCCTGATCTGATTTCTATTGTTTGCCATTTTTACCTCAATTTGGTCATTCTATTCAAATTCTGATGACGAGGCTTATTATTTCACTGTTACAAAATGACATGTCAAATATTAATACACGTGGAAGACAATATGACAAAAAAGTAACGACATGGAAAAATAATAATATAAAAAAATTAAATAAAAAATTCAAAAATAAATTCTTTTTTTTTTTCTTTTTCCTTCTTTTTTCCTTTCTCTTTCCCCTTTGAACCCAGCAGCTGCTTTCTTCAATTTCTTCAAGAAAAAGTTATTATGTCTTTCTACAATTGAAGCACAGCTTGAAAATTCAACTAAATGAAAGGATCTTTTCATCTAGGTTAAAACCCCATTTCGATATTTGAACTATTGTACGGACCCCTGATTTGGTTCTTAAACTTAAAAAATCCTTGATTTGATTCCTATTGTTTACCATTTTTATCTCAATTTGGTCGTTCTGTTCAAATTCTGATGACGAGGCCTGTTATTTCACTGTTACAAGATGACATGTCAAATATTAATAAATGTGGAAGACAATATGACAAAAAAGTAATAACATGGAAAAATAATAATATAAAAAAATTAAATAAAGAATTCAAAAGTAATTTTT